AGTAAAGCAAAATAAAGCCTACAGACATCCTAGTCTTCAGCGCAGCAAAATATTCTCGGGGGAGAAGCTCATCATGGTGCCTTTGTGCTTGATGTTAAGCACTGTATCTCAGTGGCTTTTATTTATGATATATTTTCTTAATTAATGAGATACAGCAGGATATAAGCTCCTGCTTAAGACTTCAGGGAATTTCTTAAGACACCGCTTTACCTTTTTCAGCCTAACACCCATAAGCAATTGTTTGAAAAGGTGGTGTCACATCCCCAAATCCCGTTCTCTGGTTGTACTGTAGAAAAATGGAGTCCTTTGTGAAGAGTTATTAATATGATAGGTTTTCTGATATAAGAATATGGTTGGAGGGAAATTAGAACTATGTGGTGAGGGCACCCCCCTTTTTTAAGGGGTGGAGACTATAGAACTTTTTCTGTCTACATAAGACTAACGTGGCCTGTGATTGGGTGGAAGTTGTGAGGTATAATAGAAAGAATACAGATGGCAGTCAGAGGGCCATGGAACCGAATCCTCAGTTTTACGATTTATTAGCCGGGTGTGGTGGCCATGGGAATGTGCGCTTTAGACGCCCTACTGCAGGGTGTGTAATTGACCAAGGGCCCCGTCTCTGCACTTGCACCAAGGCCAGGCTTCCCGTGGGCTGCTTCCAGTCTGTGATGCATGTGTAGGGGACATAAGGCAGGCATGGAACACAGGAGACTCTCTTGCAGGCCAATTTTGGCTCTAGAACTCCTTGATGGCCTTGCTGAACCTTCCTTGGACTGCACGGCATTCCAGGACACTGCCACTCATCCTCTTCCCCTCTCTACTGTATTCATGGTCAGACTTGCATTGTGGTCTGTCCAACTTCCTCCCTCTGTTCCTTACACAGATATTTCTCCTAATAAAATCCTTGCATATTTAATCCTGTCTTGGTGTCTGTTTCTTGGATTACCTGGACTAACACATGGAGTGACCTTAGACAAGTTACTTCATCTTTGAACCTGTTTCCTCATCTTCAAAACAGGGTGAATATCTGTTGCATGGAAGTTATAAGAATGAATAAATGTGATAATGCATGAAAAGCTTTTAACTTTGTGCCTGGCAAATACAGGTGCTTTAAAAATGTCACTTTTCATCCCTTTCACATCTTCTCTTTTCCTTTGCAATGTCCCTACCAATGAGGTTAAATATTTACCTGTGCACATCTGACCTGTGGCATTTAGGAACAAATGAAATCTGGGTGTAATAAAATCGTCCTGTTTAAAAATAAATTTATTTTTCTAAAATTTTTATTAAAATATAGCTAACATACAATATTATATTAGTTTCAGGTGTACACAATAGTTATTCAACATTTATAGACCTAAAGAAGTGAACACCATGATAAGCCCAGCAACCATCTGATACCATACCACGTTATCACAACATTATTTGCTATATTCCCTATGCTGTACATTATATCCCTGTGACTTACTTGTTTTATACCTGGAAATCTTAACCTCTCACTCCTCTTCACCTTTCCCCTCCTTTTTAAAATTTTCAATTACAGTTGACATTCAATATTATTTTATATTAATTTCAGGTATACAGCATAGTGATTAGACATTTATATAAAAAGTATCCTCTTTTAATTACAGTCCTTTCCCTATCTCATTAACTGCTTCTCAATTTGGGGGAAGTCTTACTTTGCAGACCTCTCTGAAATCTTTGATCTGTTTAATAACGTGGGTTGAAAGGAAAAAAAAAATAGCTGCAGGGGAAAATCTGATTAAACTTTGTATGCTGGATTTATTACTTCCTTCAATAAGGTTAATGCCAAACACTTTACCTTATCATCCAATTTCCGGGCATTGAATGCAAGTTCAACATAGTCATCATTGCCAGATAATTCCTCAGCAATCACCTAAAGGAAAAAGCACGTATCAGCTGTGGTAGCGGTTGGATCCCTCAGCCCAGAAATTCATAAACAAATTCAGCTCATTTTTGGTCCAAAAATCAACAAAGACATGTTGGGCAGGAAGCTTTCTACAACCATAGTGAACATGGCACAGCATTCCCAGGTGTATAAGGCAACTCCCGAGAATAGGCAACAGTAGATAACTAGATTTCACTTATGCTGAGCATGAGAACACAAGAGGTGGGGCATAAACTAGAGGGAGAGATATTTGGAACAGCAATTACAAAGATTTTCATTCTTTAAAAGTCACACTGCATTGGGTGGTAGATAGATAGATAGATAGATAGATAGATAGATAGATAGATAGATAGATAGATAGATATTGAAAGATCTAAGCCCTTAATTCCCAAGACAGAGGATTCCTGAGAAGGATTTTGATATAAGTGAAGAGATAATACTATCTAAGAGCCTCTTTCGTAATACATCACTTTCCAATATTCAATAGCCAGTGACTCTCAAAGCCTCACAGCAGAAATTGATGGAAAAAAAAAGAGTGAGGAGAAAAAAAACACAGTAACAACAACAACAACAACAACATAATCTAGGGACCAGTCTGTTGCATATAGGCTAAGCCATTTATAAATAATGTTGAGGACTTCACATGCATTCAGAGGCTATAGCACGTGGATACCCTTTCCAAATTGGTTATGTTGAGATGCTGAGATTTAATTCAGTTTTATGTCCATTCTATCTGAGCTCAATTTTCCCATGAGGAGTTGGGTCCATCTGTTCTGAGTATACACTGGTAGCCTCTGAAATTTGTATTTCATATCTAACATTAAAACTAAAAAGGTTGTCTAAAGAGGGAAAAATGCCCCCTTCCCTCCCCAAAGTGTAAGCAACTGAGGAGTAGGAAAAATGAGTTCAGATACATGGTAAAAACTCAAGAACTGCTTTTTATTTTTTATTTTATTTTTATTTTTTTATTGTTAGTTTCAGGTGTACAGAACAATGCAATAGTTAGTTATCCTTTACACCCCTCACAAAGTAACAACCCTCCTCCTCCCATCCACTGCCCTCTCACCCCCAATATCATACTTATCTATTACAATTCCATTGACTCCATTCCCACACTCTACTCCACATCCCGTGACTATATG